CACCCTGTGCAATGCCGTCTGCGGCTGTGTGATGCTAGTGACCTGCTCCAACTCTGTAACAAGTCACCTTCCACATTTGGTCTCCAGGGTCTCAGTTAAGTAACTGAGACTTTAAACAAGATGCTCTCAAGTAAGAACATAAGTAGTGATGAAACTTATATAATAACTCAGTCTTTCTCCCTCTTCAGCCTGACAAACATTTCCACTGGAACTCATGGAATTATGAGTCACTTTATAAGGCAAAATGCATTCCTGAGTAGGTGCTTGTAGTAATTCAGGTGCTGGAAGTGGCATAGCCACATGGCAGCATGCTCTGTGGGCCAAGGTACTCTGCTTCTCAGCATGATTAACTCATCAGGACGGAGCACAGCGCTGTATGGCTGTTAGTACCTATACTGGCTTAAAGAGCACTAGCTTGCGTATCTGTAGGTGATGTATTTTTCCACAAAGACCTAAGTCGCGAACCACCTAAAGAGGACTAGAGATTTTGAACATGCCCTCTATGTCAGAGTAAGCTGAGGCAATTGTATACTTTGGGGCAAGCACACAGCTTTTGCACTGCTGCAGGTAGTCAAGATCTCGGTGGGAAAGCGCAGCTTTGTACTTGAAGCAGTGGTGCCTTTGGACACGAACTAACCAGTGCATCCCCACCCCTCCTTAGGACCTCTGTGGAGACTGCACTTTTTCCCTTGGCATCTGTGCTAGCTGCCCAGGGGCCAAAAGCAGAGCAGGTACTGGGGGCACCACACCACCTGCTTCTGTAACTTCCCTCTTTGTCACAAAGCAGTGAACCAAGTGGCCAAACCCTTGATGGAGCAAACCCTTGCCATCCTAGAAGAAATAAACCATTCCGTGTGGTACATGATGTTCACTGTCATGCCTGTGCGTGACTTGCTAGTAATGAGCCTGAAGCCCAGAGCCTTACAGCTTTTTAAATCAAAGTTCCCCTGCCCAAGCCGGGACTGACCCCTGTTAACTTAAAAGCCTTGAGCATCACCGAGGCCCCTGGTCAGCAGAAGAGCTTGCTCCATTCCCTGGGGCGGGAGGTGGAAGGAAGGGAAGGTCCCTTCCCCAGGGGCTGGCTCAGGACACTCTGAGGGGAGTAAGGGAAGACAAGAACAAGTGGAGGCCACTTGCCAAACAAAGACAATGCTCCTGAGGTCTCTCTCACCAGCTCTGTGACCCTACCCAGTCATTAGGGGCCAAAGCAGCTCAGTGAGAGGATGCACAGTGGGAACAGCTTTTGGTTTAGCAGGGGCCGTACCAGAAGAGAGATTTCCTTCTACAACATGGGATGGATTGCAGAGGGATTTGGTAGCTGCTGATGTGCAGGAAGGAAGGGCAAGAGAGTAGTTTCCTTCTCGGGCGGAAGGCAGGCAGAAGAGCTGAAGCACAGCACTCAGGTCTGCAAGCCTCCTCCTTCAATATAGGGCATACTGCATGTATTCAGCGCCCAGGATAAACTAAATCAGAAAAACATTTGGTTTCAGTTCCTATCTTATTGGTGGCTCATGTTTTATTCATAGTACAGAAAGGGCAGAAGTTCCTTTGCACAAAGTCCCCTTTCTTTCTGCACAGGTTTCAGAAAACCAGTCAGCAGCAGAGCAACGCTGTTGAACTCAGGAAGACTTGTCACCCGCTTCCTAATTCTCAAAGCAGTTAGAGCCCTGCAGTCTTTTTTTTTACCTTTTATAGTCACAGGACTAGTCAAGCAAAACTTTGACTGGGTTATTCTGCTTTAATTACAAAATGCACTCAGACCAGAGGCGCAGTAGTACCTGGTACATAGGTACACATTTCTCTCAGTTGTAGCACCAAAGACCAAAAGGCAGTCTGGTCCTGCTGTAAATCAACCATTTCCCTCTGGCAAGATCTTTGGAGTGTGTTAAACAGACATCACAGTAATGCTTGAACTGCCTCTTGTGCCGCAGGACACCATACTCTGTATTTCATCGTGTACTTCGAGATCCTTTAGGGTGAACCACACAAGAGATAAGCATGAGAAGGGAGGCAAAACTGGAACCTCGGGGTAATTGGAGTCCATATCCCACCACCCACCGGAAAGGAAAAGCAGCGATGGGCCATTCCCTCTTTGCTGCAGTTAGGACAAGGTAGATAAATCACAAGGTTATTTTATTGCTGGTGAACTCAAAAACAGGCAACTTTAATCTACTGAGGAAGATACACATACAAACAAATGTTAGGCCTTGTGCGTTTTTTTCTTCTTACTGTAAATGTCTCTGCAACTTCAGTCCAGCCCCCAAGCTCTTGCTGAGCTGCCACTGAGACCCCAGTAACATGCTCTGGGCACTTCTGTAAGACATTATAAGAAGCATCACATGTATTAAAAAGGGAGATTTTGCAGAAAAGACAAAGCTCTGACTGTAGCAATGTTGCTCAGAAAGGAGAAGCCTGGCTAATCCTGCTGCATTAGGTACATGGTATTATGTATGATCATTTTAATTGATTTAAGAATTTGCCGGCTCCCTTTCTGTTTCTGGTGTGCAAGCTACAAGTAAAGTGCAATTCTGGGTGTAGATTACCACTGTGAGGATGCAATAGCTGGGTTGTACCTGGCAGACATCAGCGGAAAGCAGGCAACAATAGCTGTTACAATGGCACAGGCAATAAGGATAATGAAATAGGATACTAGATGCTGCTGGGAAACCCCTCCATACTCTGAGCATCTAAATGTTACCTCACTGAGCAAAACCAGTGTCATTTAGTGGGGAGCTTCTGAAGCCAAGACACACGACTGTGACTGTGCACCGGGTTAGCTCTGCAAACAGACACTCCTCCCCCAGTCCCAGCTGGGAGTCACCAAACCACGTTGCTAACTCCTTGTAGGCTTTTTAAAGAGTTTTGTAACAGCTAAGGAGAAAGCAGGGATCCTAAGGAGGTTTCTATGAAGCTCAGGGTTTCAGATGACGCAGAGCGGTGTAGGCAGCACACCACTACATGTAAGCTATGCTGTGAGAGGGCAGCCCAGCTTCAGACACAGTGTTTTAATGACCCTGACAGAACCAGGGCCAAAACGGGGAGATCCCAACTCTCAACTGCACCTTGCAATTCTTGTTCTGATCCAGTACAGCTCATCTGCATCCTCCCACATACAAATCTCATCTCTCTTTTTCCCCCCATGTGCAGTGTCAGGTAACTATTTTGCCTGGGTCTACACACCCAAGACCATCAAGGCTGATAAACTACGTACTGTTCCTCTGATTTCATAATACTGGCATCACAGCATGGAAAAAAAAAATCTGTTCAGTGTTTGTCCTCTTTTAATTTAATGAACTACAAGAAGGAAACTCTAAATACCCACCTAAGTACTCTGGGTGCTTCAGGAGGCATTGCGTACCTCAGGACAGATCTGATTAACTCCTTGCCACCGGTGTTTTCGTGTGTCCATTGCCAGCAACGGATGCCAGGTGAGAAGCGGGAAGGGAGGAATAAAGTAATTGCACTCTGTGTGACACAAAAAGGATTAACACTGCCTTCCTAAGAGCAGAACCAACAAGCAATTCTCCTCACAGGGCCAGGAGTGCTCTCCCCCCTCAGGAATGGACACCCTACGGCAAGGAGCAGGTTCACAGCTGAGCACTCCCTACCAGAGACAGGGCACCCCACAAAGAAATAGCCTGACCATTTCCAAAACGAGTGGAATCCCACAATCACACCAACATGTTTGCATTTCAAGCCAAATTGATCCCTGGTGCAGCTCTGTTGACTATGGTGGAAGAACACCTAAAATTAATCTCGGTCTACAGGGCAACTACAGCAAACCTCCCCCGTAACCCAGTTAGGAGTGAGATACATCTGACAGCTGGAAGCTCCATGTTTGTTGCTAACTTCAAAAGTCAAGACTTGCTAGAATGAACTACAAACCCGTGGCTGCCATTATCAAGCATTCTCCCTGCACTACAACTTTTCCTACACTCCTCAAATGTCCCCAACACGTTAAATGTCAAATTGCCCCCAGTGCAGGTAGTTCTACAGTGGAGCTACAACACTCCCTCCTGCTCCACCTCTCTACTGCTCTAGCACCCTAACTCCAAACCTCACTCAAGCAGACCATGAAGAAGTGCTCTTCAGAGAGGGATTTTTTGCTTTTCGTTTTTTTTTAATAATGTATCAGGCAGCATGGCATATCTCTTGCTGCCTCCAATTATTGTCATGACAATATGGCTGTGGTTATTTAAAGGAGAATTTGGGAAGAAAAAGCAAATTCTCTTGATACACTGAGAACACTGGGCAGAACTGAGCCAAGACCTGCCAGTGCTGAAGGAAGGCGAGAGTCAGTGCCAGAGGACATCACGTTACCCACGTTAAGGTTTTGACCTTCATATACAGTGAGTTGCAGCCAGACTAAGTCATCAACATCACCAGCAACAGAGGAATCCCTGGGAAGGAAGGCAGAAAACTCTTGTGGCCTGTACAGTCTCTACAAGGTTTGCACAGCTGAGACGGGAGCTGCAATCTGCAGCAGCCGTTCAGGCAAGGTCTGCTTTGAGGGGAGAGAGGAGATGGGAAGACTTACACTATTTCTTGTGCCTTTTGCCAAGATTCAGATTGCACAGATTACGGTAAAATTCACTCGGCAAAAAAGGCCTTTATTAAAAAAAAAAAAAGAAAAAAAACAATTTCTAATGAGTATCAGGACTGAGATTTCAAAAAGTACAAGATCTGTATAAACTCAGCAAGATGTCCAGCACCAGATTATTTCGTGGTGCAACAAAGAACCTGGGGAGAGGCCAGTGGGACCTCATGAGGGGAACACCATCTACCTCCCCAGCAGACTGCCACTCTAGGTTCTTCTCAACAGCAGATGGATTTTCCTTGTTCCTGCAGCATCTCAGGTCCCACAGGAGGTATTGGTTGCAAGCAAGCACCTGAATATTGCCTAATGGAGTAAGCCAATCGCTAACTTAGCTGGCATGTCAATGGCCATCTGCTAATTACGTTTTTTCTTTTTGTATGCATTTCCGCCGCAGCGTTTCTTCTTCTTCTTTCTCCACATAAAGAGTAAGCAAAAGGACTGCTTTCATCTGTAATAAGTTAAAATCAGAATTGACCTAACTAACAAATAACTGATATCGGTCCTTGGAGCCCAAAGAGTAAAATCCATAGAAAATCTATTGGTTCCGTTTTTTTTCTGGTATATCCCATGCACACCCCCATTAGAAAAATGGGGTTTATAAATCTTATCATACAGCAAGGAGCAGTACCTCAGAGCCAGAGCTGACAGTCCGTGGTAGAGTTCTGGGCTCTTTCAGACTGCTAAGTGTAGTTCTGAGTCACTGCTCAATCAGTCTTCACATGGCCGTTGGCCAAGGCAACGGGGACAGTGGGGGCCCCTGGCTCAGCAGTCTCATCAAATCGTAAGCGCAGGGTGTTTCTGATCACCAGCTGCTCCATGATGAAAGAAGCACAAAACCACGGGATGGCATACTCCAGGGTGATCAGGCCCATGAAGTCAAAATCAAACTGGGAGTAGTCCCATGGGCAGGCATTGAACTGGCGCAGGATGAGGCCGGTGGTGAACTCCCAGAGGTATGTCCAAAGTGTGTAAATGAAGCAGCGCACTAAAATGTTACACTTGTCTTTGAGATATAGGTACATCTTCTCCACAATGAGGATGGAGGTGCCATAGATGAAGAGTGCCCACACACTGGTAACACCTGGGAACTTCCAGTTAAAGTTGACCACAAACTCCCAGGCAGCTGTGAACATCACCTCACAGAAATAACCGTGAATGGCGTAGAGGTACCATCGGGAGAAAGCGGTCAGAGGTTCTGCCGCAGCCATTCTTCTGCACACACCCCAGCAGGCACTCTGGAATGAGGAGAGAAAGAGAGAGAGAGAGAGAGAGAGAGGAGTCAACGAGGATGTCACAGGTCCTTACCCCCCACATGGCAACACACACAAACTCCTAACATCCGCAAAGGACAAACCTGAGAAAGAACTGAAATCGTCTCGTTTTTACCACAGCAAATTTTAAGTCCTGGGGAAAGGTGGGACCTTCCCCTGCTCCGAGTCTTGGAATGGGCCCGGATAATGTATACGGCTCTGCCTGAGAAGCGGGCTGCAGCTGGTATCCCACTGGTGATAAGGAGGGAGCTGACAGGCACAAAGGCTTTGCCAGGGTGAGGCTGGCGAAGAACTTACTGATTGCATCTCAGTAGAAAAACAGTCATCTCACACGCAGCTCACATCACCTTTTTGCTCTTCTCAAGAAACAGCACTGTCCCCTATGTTTCTGATTCTAACATGGAATAGATGAGATGAACACAGCATTGAAAACCTGGGCCCTTCCAGCTGTCACCTACTATCTCTATACCGAAAATGTTTACTGTAGTGGAAAACTGAGCTTTGATGGGAGCTACATAAAGGGAACTGGAAGTTTCAGAGGTTTTGTACTTCCAGACACCACACCTTGCACCCATTATTCCGCTGAACAGTTATTTCTTCTGTTAAAGAACTCATGCGTTGTATAGCTAGCATTTGGAAGATAGTTTTCTTATGGTGTCAGACTGCCTGACACCAAGTCAAAAAGTACGAGAGAGTCATTGCAATCCATTCAGATTTTGCTTCAGGACAGCAAAACACGAAGGAGGAGAATAAAAAGGAACAGCTGAGCCTAGAGAGAGCTGGTTAGTCATGACAAATAGGAAATGAGAACAAACTCTTATAGTCTCTACAGGAAGAAACGGTGAAGAGGTTTTGAAAGGGCACAATTTGCTTATCACTGAACTGTTTCCGCTTTTTTTTTTTACGCTTTTTGTAGACATGTACAAGGTCCTAAGCATTGCTCTGCCACACTACAGTCCCTGGCCCAAGCTGATTTTGAGCATAATTTTACTGAAGCCTTACAGATTTACACCACAGGGTGAATTTGACCTCTTTCATTCTTAGAAACGCTTTCAAGTTGGGTTTCTCTTGACTCTTCATCACACGCTGTTTAACTTCTTTGCTCTGCACTTGCCAGTTCTGTGGCAGGAGGTGCTACAAAAGGACCGCACTAATGTTCGTGCAGTCCTTCCAATGCCACCTGGAAAGAGACTGTTTCTGCCCTGCTCTGTAAACACGGTCCCCCTCTGAATAAAGTACTAACACACAGTTATGACTGAAATTCTGATAGGAGACAACAAAAGAGGAAATGTTTACATGGAAAAAGGAACTATAATAATGGACATAAAGAAGATATGCAGAATATTCACAGGGGAATACTGAAAGCAGAAAGGACAGAGCTGTATCCATGACCTATTCACTCTTCTCTTAAATGTGCTTGAACAAAGACCCTAATCTCCTAATGGCACAGCCTACTTTGCACAGGACACTGAACTATCATCAGATGCCACAGATCTGGGTCAACAACACACTGTGACCTCATGGGTGAAAGACTAAGGAGTCGCCAGGAATTACCTTACGTCTTCTAACAGTTCAGTCCTAAGAAACCCTGAAAGACAGCAGTGGAGGTGGAACAGGAGGAATATGCAGGGGGTGTATCTCCACACAGTCCACAAGCAGCTGGTATGCAAGGGCACTACAAACTTTCTCTCTGAGGAGAGTGAGAGTTTGTCAATGTAATGTTACTTGGTTAGTTTCCCAGCAGAGTCCATCAGCTTAGGAGTTTGAATCCTCGTGCCATTCCTCCATTCTCGTGTAATTTCAAGAACAAATCAGTAGTCAGAGGTACAGGAGTAAGGGAAAGCAGTAAGAAGGAAACGGACTGTAGGTATGTTTTGTCAGAATGAGGATACATGGCTGCAGCAGGAAGGGAGAATTTTTTTATATCTGAGGAGACAGACATCAAAAGATGCAGAGGCCTTAAAAGTCATACCTATTGCTAAGTAAGGCACTGAGGAAATATGGAACGTCATCCTCCAGGGAAGAAAATGATTGTAAAGTTTTTACTAAGCTGCCAAAGGATTGTATAGTTTTCCTCTCTTTTCAGTAAGGCTTTCTAAGCTTTACCACTTGTGGTTCTTAGTCCTTGCACTTCCTTCTACAGCTTTACATGAAATGTATTTGAACTGTTGACTGGGAGCGTCCACAGCACGCAATACTATCTGTAAGGTTTTCCTTGTAATTTTGAAAGTCTCTTCACAAACTTGGATCAAATGCACAGAAGGTCCTTCCCTCTCAGTCCCTGCCTTCTTATGCCAAGGATCCCCTCACGAATTATTTCCGTTGCCTTACACCTGCTGACCAAAGCCAAAGAAGACTCACACACATATATCCAACAGGCCATGCACTATTCTACCCCACACTATTTCCTCTGTGCAATGAGGATTTCTCTTTCCTGGTTCTATATCACATACTTCATAATTATCTATTTAGTCTCTACTTCTTTTTTACACTTTGCAGAATACCTAGTCACTACACTAGAAGTCTAGTAACTGAGTCTAGACCAGGTCTGGGACAATGTCTACAATATAAGTTAACCCACTGCAGAGACCACTGTTGACTTCTTTTCAGAAAGAAAAGAAGCCTGAAGGCTGAGCCTTTCACCACAACTGCAAGGAGACAAACACCAATGCGCTGACACTGTCTCAATATTTGCCTTCTACCGCCACGTGTCCAGTCAGTCCAGCCTTGATGGGAACTTCTTTCATACAGTATGCTTGGAAGAGTCCTTCCAGGCTGCCTGCTGATTAAAAGCATCCCAAGACAGGACAGATGCTGAACTGCGGTTATCCAAACATAAAACTGGTTCCACTGTGCTAGGCACTAAGCAAATCCATAAATCACAGCTCCTCCTGTAAAATATTTCATTCAAAATAAAACAAAAAGTACACAGGAAGACATAGAAGGGAATGGACGATACCTAGGGAGACTATAACAAGCTACAGCACGTCACTGCACAAGCTGGGGATAGCACAATGTAATGGTTACAAGTCACTTGAGCATTTACAAAAAAATTAAAATTGCAGCTGTTCCCAAGCATCTTATTTTCCAGGCATACCAAATTGGCTGGTGCCTCATAGGCCATACAGCACAAAAAGGTTTCAAGAGGGAAATGGAGGACAAAAGTGCTGTTTTATCGGGCCGCAATTCATGATAAAAGGATCAGGCTGAAAAGTAGTTGCAGGACATTAGTGGGAGAAGCAGCCAAACAGAAGGCCAAGACTGGATTCGGTAAAAGATGCAGATTTGTGAAAAGCCTCAAGTAGATAATTGAACTGACAGTGATGCAAGACTTTTAACGGAGTGACAGTAATACAGACCCAAAAGCTCTAAACGTATGATAGCTATTCAGTCTTCTGAGGAAAACAAAGGACGTTCATCACTCGAGGTAGTTACAGTGGGATGGGCAGTGGCTTCCTGAAAACCAGAAACACAACTGCCACCTACACAATTGTCTAAGCAGAGAGTAAACAAGTCCTGGAGGCTGTACATGCATGGCCGGCCATGTTTGCACTGAAGCTGCTCATGCTGTGTTGTTTTGTGGAAAACAGGGAGCTTCTAAATTCAAAGCTATGAAAATACTTTTCATGATCATCAAATTATATTTCAAGCAGCTAAAGTAGAAATAGTTCCTCTACTACAATGTTACTAGGAAGCCTGAGCTAAGCCAGCACAGAAATTTTCCTTCTTTCTCCAGCAGGACCTTCCTTTCCAGCTTGCTGATAGCAGAAAAAAATGCAAGCCTATGGAAACCATGCAGTCCCTTCCCCGACAGCGCTGCCTGTGTGGGTAACACTGCTGACAACACAAGGGCCAAGAGCCCCTCCACCTACTGTGAACAAACACAGCCCTAACAGGGGAAAGTGTATGAAGGACTGAATTTCTCTACAAGAACATGGTTCAGAGGATCAGGGCAGGACGCCAAGTTAGGCCTGCAAGAAAATATCGTAACAACACAAAGATCATAATTTTCTATTTTAGAATATCGACTCTGAAATGGATACTAATCATCCCCTAGGTTTACATAAGATACAGATAAAACTGATGCACCAGGCCAAGTAAGAAGAAAGGACATAAAGCCCAGGCTGCCCGGCTCCACATGCGAGACCCTTCTGCACAGGGGACGCACTTCCATATTCACATCCAGTTTTGCAGGTGATGCAGCCCGGGCAAGCAAGAGGCAAGCAACTGGAAAATGGGCTGATGGGAGACCAAGAAATAATGGCAGATTTGTCACACACAGGTACTGCAGGGGAGACATCAGTGCATGTCATATTCATGCCTGATTAAATTCTTGAGCACTGCCTGTTTCGTTTTTTTCAAAGCTCTCCTTTGCAGTGGCTTTCTGCCTGTTTCCCTGCTACCAAGCCAAACTATGCTTCAAAAAGACTCTCTCAGATTGTCTCTATTCCCCCTACTCCAACAGAATTATTTAGACTCACAGCCTCTGGATGGGTATAATGAGACCTTGTCAAGATACTCTGAATTATCTCTGAAGTGCTAATAGAAGAAAAACACAAACAATAAACCTCCATGAGACAATTCCCCTGATTAATGATGGCCTGAGGCTATGAATTCTGTCAGCTACTTGATTCACCACAGGTGAACTTGAACTACTGCAGGAAGTTCCTTATTCCTAGTGCCCAGTTGTTTCTGCCAGTTAAAAAATTAGGGCACAGTGTTATTCTACAAATTCATGTTTGAATATGAATATATTTACTAATATTTAGTCTTATAACATGCATGTTCATATTTCTAAGAAATGCCTTAGATACATCTATAGCCCTGTTACATGTCATAACTACTTTTTAATTTGAAAGAGTGACAGCAGACAGAGGAGGCACATATGTAGTAGGATACTTCAGTCCCTCCAAACAACAGGACTGTGAGAAGCTCTGAAGGAGAGCCCACTCCCTGACCATAAG